TCCGGTGCTCACTCAAGCGACTTGACCCAAGTGCACGTGCTGAGCCCGGCTCCCCTCTCCCCCTCTCCCCAGCTTTGTGCTCTCCGCTGATTGAGTCCCCACATTAAGCTCGAGATCCTTTCTAAGCAACTGCTAAGAAGTCAAGAGCATCCTTGCTTGCTTTCTCTCCGTGGCCTTTCATGCCCTCAATTTGTTATTCTACTGACACTTTTCTTAAAGTTAGCGCCCAGCATTGAAACATTAGCGACAAAAGCCCTGGAAAATCTCTCCCTCCTCGCCGCTAAATCCTCTAATGGGTCAGTGCGTGTCGAATTTTTATTTGATTTCCAGTAAGTCTCTCTCGCACTTCGATATTAAACCTACCTCAGCCCAGCGCCTCACCTATGGGATATTTTCCAGCTTCGCTTCGGAAAGTAGAAACGCTCAGATTTCCTTCCACGTGCACCCACTAATTTATAAATGAGTGTATAGGGCTGTCTTCGCGTATATCTATGTCTCTGTATCTGCAGTAACGCTTTCATTTTGTGTCAAAATAACATATCCTGTCACTCCACGCCAAAAGTATATTTATCGAATGAAATAGCTCCACAAGCCGCATCTTCTTTATCAAACCTTCATTTCTGTTTTACCCAATTGTTAAATATCTTTTCATTCCTTTTCCCATTTTAAAATACGTATTAGAGTAATTGTTGCTTGGAGGTCTTTTGTGTATCTATAGCTCCTTTGATTCCTATCTTTTCCTTTCTTTTAATCTTGTTATGCGAAATCACATACGCATTTCTCAGGAAATCCAAGGAGCAGAACTTTATTAAATAAAAACCTCCTAATCCTGCAGTTTTGCAGCAAATACCGGGTTTTTTTAAGTGCATATACCTAACCCATGGGGGTATTTTTGTTGTTTTATTGGTTTGGGGGTTTGGGGGTTTGGTTTTTTTTTTTTTTTGGAATGAACATCCCTAAGTCCTCTTCACTTTATTACGCGGATTTCATGACATGATTCTTCAGCTCTCTGATTTAAATAAGTTTTAGTGTGAACCAAGAATGAACATTATCCTCTAACCTGAGGTCAAGTGAAGGGTGATTTACATGACAAAGAATAATGCCCATTTTGTCCAATATGAAACAACTTCACCTTCGGCATCATTAAGAAGAATTTAGCACTTTCAGGGCTTTGGGGGTTGGGGGGTTTGGTAAATAGTTGGCAATGTATAGCGCAATTTCCCTTTTATAAATCACAATACAAAGGCCAACTTCTTGCGCTCTTGAATTTCGGCGTTATTTTTGGAGCCTTAAGTAGAGCGAATTTGCACCTGGTGGTATTTAAACTTTAACATATTAGCTGGGGAGGACTTATCAGCCCAGCGCACTGCCTCGAAACAAATTAGCAATCTTCATTAAAGTAAAGGGCGGGGGCGGGGGGATGTGACCATTTAAGACGCTGTCCCGGATCTCCCCGATCCATGCAGGTTCCGAGTGGATTATTTGGGGTCCTTACAGCAGCAGAAGTACCGCTTTACTTCCCCTCCCCCCAAGGCACACACTCGCTTCCAAATTTCTGCTGCTCTCCGGGCGCTTTTAACCCTCTCGTCCCCCCCGGAGCAGTGCCCGGCAGAGGAAGGCTGCGAGGAGGCAG